AAGTATTTTTTTCTCTGAAGTTAAAAGTCTCCCTCCAGATTTTTACATTATATTTGCTTAGCAAATCTTTTGTGCATAACTACTGCAAAGATATACTTATGGCCCAGTCATGGTGCAATTATTAAGAATTCTAAAAAACAGAACATTCCTTTGTAATACTTATATTTGACTATAAAATATATTTAAGATTTGGGTTCCCAAAATTTCAAATAAAATAAAGGTGTATTGTAAAAGTTCAGTCCCAGAGGATTGAGGCAGTTGTCTAGCTTTCTCTTACTTTGACTCCTAAGCAGAACTTGCACATTCCCTGGGTACAGAGTAGGCGAAATGACTGTGTATTCTGGGTTCAAGAAAAGACACTTCAAATTCTCCTTAATTGTAGCTGTTACTGAGCTGCCAGATGGCATCTTAGAGTAAAAGCAAAAAAAAAATGGTAGTAATGTTAATAAAAGGATTATTGGATCAATTGTTCTGTAACTGTTTTCCATAGGACAATTGTGTAGCCCAAAGAAAAAAGCTATAATGGCATATAGGCAAATACCACTTATCAGCTTGCTTATCTGTGGGTTATATATAATGTGTATAATTAGTGAATGCCAGAAAATCATCAGATGTAGAATTACTGATATGACTGAAAACATTGCTGCTTTTTGGTCTGAAACCAATTGCCAATGGACCAATAATGTGTTTGAGCAGGCATGGGTGAATACTGATAAAAATTGGTGTAGAACTGGGAAATGTTGAACAAAATGTTGAATGGTGTCATCATTCAATTTCTCTGCTTAGGTCCTATGAACTATGTCTGGTGTATGTTTTTGGCTTTCATCTCCAGACTTTCATTTACACTTTGACTTACATGGGTCAGATTTCTGTCTGCTTCTACTTTGAGGCTGGCTACAAAACAGAAAAGGTTCACTAGTTGCTTCAGTGGCCCTTCTGAGTTAGGCTAATGTGGTTAAAAGCCAGTGCATTCCATCTTCCTACTGCTGAGCTTTTTTGACATAGGTCAGTTATCTGTGGATTTCCTAGGAAGACCAGCTTCTGCTTTGTTTGCTGGCTCTGTTCCTATCTATACTTGGCATAACTCATATGATAAAGCACCTGGCCAAAAGATCCTCTCTGCCTTTTGTATCTGGTTTCCTTTATTTCTCCTTAGCCTTCTTAATCATTACACTTGTCTTGTGAACTTGAATAGCTCCCTGAAAGTGAAAGTGGGGCTGTGACAGGTTCTGTCTCAGAAGAAGGCAGTAAATTTTATTTTACAGAAGAAGTCTGTAAAATGACTCGTCTCCAGATAAATTCGGAGCGTTTTGTTCATTTTTTTGAAATGATACATTTCTTTTGTATTAATGAACATTATGGATGATTGATTGAAACCTGTAAGTATGAGGAAAAAAGAAAGCAAAGTGCAAATAACTGAGACCCTGCTGAGGAAAAAAATACCACAATCCTGTTTTGAGTACCAAATTCCCAAAACAGAAGAAACACCAATATATTTTAGTGGCCATTTCTGATGTAGGTTTACTTCTAGTGAACCAGATGTGCACAATGTATTGTGTTAACTAGTTAAACAAATAAGTCCATGCTTCTAATAAAATTATAAAGACATTTACAAACAGCACAACAAATTTTGAAACAAAATTCATGAATATTTAAAGTTAAGATATGACTAAATTAAAAAAGTGAAAAGTGAGATAGATATTTTTAATTAAATATTGGTCATGGACCCAGACATTTTCTCCATAAAATATGGAAAAGCCCATTCATGCTAGTATAAAAATTTAATAAATCAAAATTAACAAGCTGACATCTATTTTACCTTATTTAAGGCATCTGTATCTTCTGTATCCATTGTAAAATATAATTTTTTTTTGTTTCAGATGTCATTTTGTTCACAGAACACCGTTCAGTATTATTTTAATGCGTACTAATGCACTGGACACAAAGTAGAACAGTTTTCTGATTTCAAATGAGTATTTTACTAGTACATATTTTCACTGAAGTGAATGCACAAACACATACACAAACCACCTTATAGACTGTCAGAAACAAATTAATGAATAGTCAATACTTTATAGTGAAAAATAACACCCAACTCCAAGCCAACTTCCTAGAACCATATACTTTTAAATCATAAGGCATAAAGCAAATTTAAGTATTGATCAGCTATATGATAAATTCAGAAAGTTAGAGCAGTTAAAATTCATTTGAAAAACGTTTTTTTTCTCTTTGGTAGCAGATTCTTATTTTGGCAAAATAATAATCTATTAATGTTTTGCTTCAAGTGCATGGGTAAACAATCATAATGACATCAAAGATTTTACCTCAATGTTCCAATAATATTTTAAGCATCATTCAGTAACTAATTAACTACTACATTATTTTTGGACAATGAGCATACTTTTTTCCACAGACTGAAGATAATATAAATGGAAGTATGAGAACCGTATCTGGAAAAGAGTCATAAACTACATGGCAGGCATGTGATTTTAACTATTTAGCTTCTTAAAATTCCAGAGCTGAACTAAGGTTCAGAAAAATTGGTGTGAAAAGAGGTATCTTTTCTAAAACTCTGGACAAACACAAACTGAGGAGTAGAAAGAGAAGTCTGGTAAAACTGAGGTATGTTATATTTTATAGATTTTCTTCTTGGGTATAATTATGAAGTGGCATTTAAGTGAAAACTCTGAAGCCTATATTCCCACTCCACCTGCCACCCCAAATCTAACATATTAGAAAAAACACCTATGTCAGTAATAAAATAAAAAGTCTTTGACTTTTTAAATGTTATCTTACTATCGCAGTGGAATAAAATTAGCTTGAAAAATGATCTAAAGGGATATGATGCAGTTCATTATGTATAACAGCAACAGCAGCGGTTTCCCAGTGTTCATAAAGGCTGCTCCATTAAATTTACTTTCAGTCAATAATTAGGAGTCCACAAATAAACCGAGGCAATTAAATCAATACTGCTGGGCAATTATATTCCAGAGTCCAGGCTCAGTGGCACAAAAAGACCCTATATCAAGCTGTAGTATTAAGTGTTCTGCTACAATTTTCAACAGGGCATTTTCTGGACAGAATAAGCAGCCTGAAAAACGGATGATCTCAAGTTTGTACATGTATATGAAGTATATATATCATGCAAAAAAGGTATCTTCTAGTATCATTAGAATTTAGAAAAAAAGTAATACTTGAATTTAATGTTTTAACATTTATGGAATTCCAAAATAGAAAGAAGTATAGCCATACTAACAAGAGTAAAATATTTTTAAATGTTATTCAGTTTCCTTTCATTCACTACCCTGGTAAGAAAATCTGAAGTAGATATAGCCATTTCTAAAGACGTTTTTGAAGAATTGGCAACTATAAAAATCCTGACTCATAGATTTAGAATAGGGAGGGATTTGAGAGGCCATGTCTCTCATTTTACTGATAAGGGAGTTGAGGCCCAGAAAGGCTAAGTGACTTGCCCACGCAAGTACATGTAGCAGAGCTGGGATGTGAACTTTGGTCCCTGGACTCCAAATCCCTGTTCTTTCTTCATGCCACCTTGAGAACCTGAGATTGAGCACTTAAATACACTCCTATGCATTTACTGCATGGTTTAGTAAAACACTTTATAAACACTGTCTCTATTGATTCTCACAATAAGCCTCAGATGTAGCTCTGAGATATGGGATGAGATTGAGAGATGTTAAATATGACTCGCAAAAGGTCAGATGAGAGCAAATGGTAAAAGCAAGACTGGAACTCATAGCTCAGACCTCCAATGAATGCAGTGTTGTTTCCACCACTCCATGCTGTCTGTTGTAATAGCTGATCCTCAGTAATATCAGGTATTATTTGATGCAACTGATTTGGGTTTATAAAAATAATATCATGAAGATAAATGCTACATGTATCATGTTTTACTTATTCTTGGTATTACTCAAACCAGGCCAACCAATGGCATTTTGCAAGTATTAAAAGAAATTTCTTTTCTATAAATTACTAACAATATTTTGAATTATAAAATGGAAATATTTGTAAAGTATATTGCATAGCCAGTTTGCAAATAGAAATCCTTTGAATTCTTTAGCCTGTGTATTTTAACTATTTTCTTCTTTCGTGAGCTACTTTTAATACAAAAATCAAGATAAGAGCAGGAACTATAAGGAAAAGTTTTAGAATACATTATATGTTGTGAGTCATGTCAAAACAGAGGCTGACTATGACTAGAAAAGCAGGGCTCTCACCTGCCAATAAACTGCCCTTGATCACTTACAAGAGGGGCACATCCCAGCAGACTGTGTGTGTATTAAAAAAATACTTGAAAGAGAAGAAAAAGTATCACACAGGTCACAGCAGCAGTCTCAATAGACCCCTCAGGGATTTCAAGTAGTCTCAGCCTTGTCATCCTCTATGCAGCTTTCCACTCTGCCCAGAAAATGTCAATAGGAAAATGTTTGAGGGGCCTCTGGTGGAAATTTTTTCATTCTTTCTGCATTGACAGGATGCCAAATCAATATTTACTTCCCACTAACAAGCTGCTCGAGGTCTCAGTAGAAAATATTGTAGAGAATGCGGGAAGACACAGTAATAAACAGCTGTCTGGCTGTGAGGAAAACATGAATTGACTGGAAACAGGTCCACAGTAAAAGGTCACTGAGACCCATGAACTCCTCAGGTGTCCATATCAACTACTAACTTTAAAGACACATAATAAAGAATCTCTTGTCCTAAGAGGTCTAAGGAATAGATCCTTTTCAATCTACCAAACATATAGATCAACTCAATAATTTAATTAATACATTTGCCAAGACCCTCTATGTTAAATTAGCAACTACAAATAGAGATAACTTTCCTTTTTGTTAGCATAATAATTCCTTATCTAATACAACTAAAATAATATGAAGATACTAATAATATTACAAAACAAGAGAAATCCCGTTTTAAATAAAAGGAGGCTTTGAATTATTAAGATAAAGTTTTAATATAAGTAGAAAAAGCAGAAATACCTGTCCTTCAAGAATTTTATTAATGTATATTAACCACTCCTTATCTTGTTCACAGGCCCTCCTTGCTTTTTTCAATTCCTAAACAAACAAACAATAAGTAAAATGTCAGTATTAATTATGTTTATCTAAAATAAAATCACAGATCACATCACCACACATCAAATATATCTTCTCAAGGAATGAGGAACTGGCCTGCACTAGATACCACAAAGACTGGCTACCTTCTAAAATTCAGCAATCATAAGTGCCATGAGTGACTACAAATTATTACTGACATGTATGCAGAACACAAGTCCACAGAGCACCAACTCAAAAATGTATTTAAAATACATGAATTTACAAAGTAGATTTTAAAAAATGAAATGTAGAAACAATTTCAACTGAATTGCCATTGCCATCGAGCTACACAAGGTAACAAATATATTATTCTGTCTTCATAAGGGCACCTGAATCACTGTCTTCAAGCAAAGAAGAGGAATCAGACCTCTGCCACCCAGCCCCACAAGGAAGAACTAGGAGTAGAGGGTAGAAGTTGTAGGAAGGAAAATTTTGGCTTGTTATAATGAAAACTACTTAATCATTAGAATTGTGCAAAGGTGGAATGAGCTGACTTAGGAGGCAAAGGGTTCACTGTCACTGAAGATTCTGCAGTGCAGGCAGAATAATCACTGGTTCAGTAGGTTGTAGAAGGGACCATTGTTTAAGTATGAGTTGCCCCCTACACCAACTCAGACTCTTGAGATTCTCTGATAGTTTCTTCTCTTGTGTAGGATTTTATTAACATGTTGTGTTTGGTAGGCAGGCATCTCTATTTGTAATAAGCCTTAAAACAGTATAATTGCATACTTCCACTACACTAAAAACTAAAATTTGTTTATCGTTTTTTAAGAAATAAGTAAAGTCTCTGACTTAATGGCTGGGATCAAGGCAGGTGCGGATCACAGAATGTAGATCGCAAGGCCAGAGCTGGAAGGGACCTCAGAGGCTCTATAGTATTTAGTTTTACAGATAAAGAAACTGAGGTAAAGGGAGGTTGAGTTACTTCCCGAGGTCAAAGATCAAGCATCAGAGTAGGAATATGGACCGAAATTCCCTGAATCCAATGTAATGCTATTTCTATTGTATCACATGACAGTGACTGAAACTAAATAAAAATGATTGTGCTATTGGTATATACAAGAATCATTAAGAATCACAGAATTTTAGAGCTCGAAGGACCTTTACAAACTTTCCAGTGCAGCCTTCTTTGATATATAAGGAAAATGAGGTCAAAAGTCACAATTAGCTAACAGGTATATTCAAGTGTTAAAACAAAACAAAAACCGAATATAAAAATGTGAATGCATCAATAGATAAACGAGGGAGTGATTATGTAAATTGAATAAAAACCTGACTATCATTTTAAGTAGGATGTCCCAAAGGTATCTCAAATTTGACATGCCCCAAATTGAGACTGTCTTTGTTTGTAAACGCATCCTTCTTGTGAATTTCCTGATTTCTGTTTAGGATACCACCATCCTTCTAGTCACTCAGGTCCACAGACTTGGCATCATCCTTGACTCATCATTCTCTCTTATTCCTCACATCCAAACAAGTTGCCAGACTTGTCAATAGTATCTTCATAAAATATCTTGTATCCTTTCCCTTCTTTATATTACAGCATAGCCATCAAGACTTCATCACTTATTTCCTGACTATTATAATAGTCTCCTAATTAGTCTATTAATAATAATACATGTGCTTACATATATTATTATAGTTAGCATTGTCATGGTGTCTATGTACCAGGCACTGGGCTAACCACTTCACAAATATTATTTCATGTTGTCTCACACAACCTTGTGAGGTAGATGCTATTATCCTCATTGTGCAGTTGAGGAAACTGAGGCAAACAGAAGCTAAATGACTTGCCCTGAATCACACAGCTAGTAAGTATCTGAGGACACATTTAGACTCAGGTTTTCCTGAGTCCAGGCTCAGTACTCCAAACATGGTGCTGCCTCACTGCCTGCTTCCTGTTTCCATGCTCTGCAATCCAGGCTCTACCCAGCTACCCAAGGGATATTCCTAAAGCACCAGTGTAATCATGTTATCCCTCTGCTCGAGAAGGTCCATCAGTTCCCTCTTGCCTTTATGATCAGACACAAACTCCTCTATTTGGCAGTTAATCTCTGTACAATCTAGCCCCTGTCTACCTGTCCTAGTTTACTAAGCATTACTCTCCTTCCTGTACTTTAAACAGTCTAGTCTGATCCTCTTTGAGAACAAAGGACAAACAACAAAGTCAAACTGGCCTGCTTGTATTTCCCTGTACGTTTCATTCCTTTGCACCTGTCTATGCCTTTCAATACAGACTTTCTCCCATGCCTGTAATTCCCTCTTTCCTCACTTCCACTTTTTAGAATCTCTGGATTCCTTTAAAGCTCAAGTGTCATCTCTGGTAGTAAATATGTCTATTTTGATTCCTCCACTCTTTAGTGCCCTTATCCCTAGAATTTTCCTTCCCTATGTCAGGAAGGCCCTTTCCTGAAATGGCTCAGCCATACTTAATTTTACTCCCTATTCCTCAACTCACCTTTTCGACTGTCTCATCAACCACCTTGCTCTGAGCAATACCATCACCCACAGTTCCTGTTTCTGGAAGGGATGTGTCAATATACTCTTTTATAATCCAATAACTCACTCTGTAACTTTCCAGACCAAAGTACCCTTTCCTGGTCACCACTGTACTATTTGTGTTGTAAACTTGGCCTCCTCCCCACGCCAGTCTTAATTAAAACATAAGCTTCTTGAGGGCAGGACCTGCTTTTGATTTTGCATTTATGTCCCCACTGCTTAGCATAGTGCTTGGTGTATAGTAAGCACTTAATAAATGCTTTTTTTTCTTTTGTTCACATGCCGGTGCATATGCACATATACATATATATAGTTATGGATGTAGTTTATCATTTATTGCATATGTTATATGGACTCAACCAGGAAGGACAAGATTTTTCAAAATAAAATTTTAAGTTTTACACCTTCTTAAATTTTCATTTGCAATAACTTTGGATTCAATCATAAGAAATCTACCATTCCTTTATGTTACATAAAAGAGAAACATTTTAAATCAGTGATGTTAAACTGACTACATCCACTGACAGATTACAAGTAAATTTATAAGATACAGAATACAATTAACTAAAGAAAGGAAGTGGAAAGAAGAGGCATGAACAACTGACTTGTCTCAAAGTTATTTTAAGATGCTGCATAACCCTGATTACACAGCTAAGTTTCCATAGATCGTTTTGAGCATGCATCTTGTTTTGATGTATTTCTTCAGTGGCACAGTGTCAATCCTTATTTTTTTCTCTTACAGCTGAAATTACTAAGTCATCAAACAAATAAGTCATATTTTAATTGAAATTTAATTTAACTGAAAAAACTCATTAATTAAAAAGATGACTATTACAAAAGCCATTTAAATTCTCTCACCTCTTCATCCTCTGAGTCTAACATTTCTTCCACATCAGTCGGTGAAATGTTTAGGATAGAAGCTGCCAAACCCTGGACTTTTTGGGTTGCAGTTTTGCTGAGAGTCTTATTGTGCTCTATTTTTTTAATCTGTCTTATTCGCAACCTCATGTCTTGGACATTACGATGTATTTCTTGAACTAAACCCTGTAATGAACAATAAATGAACATAACTAATACAAAAGAATCTAAAATACTATAGAAAACAAGTAAAACAAATTAAATTTAAAATAATCAGGAAGTAAAAATATGGGGCAATTAATATCCCCTCCCATTATTGGGTTTACTGTGAAATAACTATTTGAAGACCTTTGTAAAGGCATGACATGTTCCTTGCTTTCAGACAGTATCACAGATGAGATAAGAGCAAACTGAAATGCACAGAAAATGGTGGTAATGATTCAGAACTTGAACTTACATTCCTTGTTCAAACTTAACATTACTTAAGTAATGCTATCTGACTGATGTTCAATTGATCCTTCTGAACAGCATAATAAGGTTGTCTTTTTTACCCAGCAGCCAATTCCTTGCTTCCCACTAGACCTGACAACAATGCTACATCTCTCAAACTATCTTAGCATTCTGTTATCTTTGATACATTTCTGATGTTTCGGATAATCAATTCTGTTAGAACTAAATCTATTAACTGGTAGTCATCTAATACTGACTTTAAGCCACTGTCTCCTGTATATTTTATTTGTTAGCTAACATTTAATGCAAATTACTTCCATATACTTCTTATAATTCTAGTCCTGAAGACCTACTAAAAACTTTCCTTTCATCAAGAATGACTATCTCTTCCTGGACACCATGCCACTTACTTTTTCAATTACCTTCACTGATTTCCAAATGCCTCTAGAATAAAATATAAATTCCCCAGGCTCTAACCTACTCTGTATTTTTCCAACCTTATGATTCACTATTCCCCTTCCCTAAAGTCAAACTGGACTTCTTGATGTTCCTCACATTCCATCTCTTTTCTCTGGGCCTTTTTACCTCTGCTTCAAGTATCACCTTATACATGAAGTCTTTCTTGGCTTTACCAACTGCTAGTATCCTCCCTCAATAAACTACCTTTTAGTAATTTTTTTCCTTATTCTGTATACACATGCTGAATTCCCAAACTGAAAGTAAGCCCCTTGAAATTAGGGATTATTTCATTTTTTTGTCTTTGCATCTCTAGCCCTTTGTACAATGGCTATTACACATAAATGTTTGTTGATTGATTGATTTGTGATTAATTAGATGCTTCTAATATAATCATTAATAGGTGAACCCTCCATTAGAAAGCAATAAAGTACATATGGAGTACTCAATTAAGCTGACCAATACACAGATGCCACCCTCCTCCCAAAAAAAGCAAATCAAATCAACCCAGTAAGAAAACTTCACTTTGTTTACGATATATTTAAAATAATTTTAACAAATACATTAAAAGAACAGTATGTTCTGAACATTTTTTTACCCCAGAGGCAACCAAACTATCAACAGAAAAAAATTAGACAAAAAAGAGATTATCAAGTAAGGAGGGGATGTACACTGAGAGAAAAAAAATGTGGCAACAAAAAAACTAAAGGAGAATAAGAGAAAAGTAAGGAAAAATGGCTAAGGTACAGAAAGTAATGAACAGAAAATAATATAAAACCCTCACTTCACATGGCACAGTCCCATAACTGTTTTATATCATCAGCTGGTGAATCACCCCAGGGGCTTTAAAAAGTTACATTTCAAATGAAAAAACACACTTGACATCAGGCAGTGCTCAACTATACCTTTTCATTCTACAATGGAGCTATGAAAGGCTTAAAAGTAATACAGAATTGTTCTCAGCTACAGAAAATACCAAATGGCAACCTTTTGGGTAGGTTGCATGTTACCATTAAAACAGATGTCTGGGTAGATAGCTATTTGAAGTGATGATGTTAGCAAAATGAAGAATTGAGGGGAAAATCAACTCAAATAAATAGCAAAGTAAAAATAGAAATTAGTGCCCCCCCCTTAAAATAAATCATGAATCTACAAAAATGTGGTAGAAACCACTAATGACCTTAATACTTTCAAACTGAAAGATAGAATTGTGTAGGCAGAATACCTAGTATTAAAGTTTATTCCATTAACCATAAATGTCACTATTGTTGTTATCTCATTCTCATCTTTTAAAATGGGTTTTGAATGAAAAGGTTCTGGGACAAGTCCTATTACTTTTTCATATTTAATATTCTACAGACTATTGCAGAAGTGGATAAATAGCTCTTTTTGTAATTCAATAAAAGTATCAGGATGTAAGCTTATCCTCTGGAGAGTCACTGAAAACATCTTTAGGATGACTTTAGTAGTGAACTGAATGGCAGGGATGGGATGTTTCTCATGTTGTCCCCATGTGATTCTGATCTCTTTTCCTAGGTCTCTTTGAGTTGAAAGCTTTTCATTCCACATTGCTTGGTGATGAAGAGTATTTGGTATGAAGACCTATTAAAATGTCATTATTTATTATTATTATTACCATATTATTATTAACCAAAAGCATTTATTAAATACATAATACCATTAACTTCTCAAGGTACTACTGCAGGATACTAGAGTTCCAGAAATTTTATCAATTTCATTTAACTAAAATGTAAGCTCTTTGAGGGAGGATGCAAAGTCTTATTCATTTTTGTAATCTCCACAATGGCATACTGCCTTATACTTGTATGAGCTGGTCATGTGGTGAGGCTGAGGAATGACAGGTAAATAATTGTGTGCTTCACTAGTACCATCTAGATATCAGGAGAAAGAGAGGAAGGATTTCAGCATATTGGGTGGACTCCCTGAGGAGAATTTACGGGAGGACACAGAAAAAAGTGAAATGAATGAGCAGCCATCAATAGGCTGTAATCTGTATCACTGAGGGAGAGAACTTCCAAAATGATTAGATCACAGATCCATTTTAGTATCTGATTATTTACATTTATATATCATATTTATTGAAACTATAAATTTCAACAATTTTCACCTACAAAATCTTTCAGTGAAGTAGAATAATTGAGTTTCACCTCTTCTTCTTTTCCTTTCCCAACTTGCAACCAGACAGAAAGAAAAAATTAAGAAATTTGAGAAACAAAAGCTTAGAATCAAGGCATGACATATTAGGGACAGGAGATTTCAGTTATCCAAACATGAGATGAGGTGTGTTCTTTCTGTGTGTGTGTATGTGTGTGTGTGTGTGTGTGTGCGTGTGTGTAAAATGCAAAATACTGAATTGCTTCTTGTCTTGATTTAATGATAATTTCATCATTCAAAAAGTAGAGCAACAAAAAGGGGGAAATTCTGCTCTAAATCTGATTCTTTCCAACACTGAGGAATGTCTTGCTGAAGTGGAAGTGATGGGAACCTTCAGGTGGTATGTTTAATTGTCATTTTACTTTTATTAACTCTCCTGTGGAGAATGGTACTCAAGATAACTAATGAAATAATAATGATAGCATTTAACACCCCTTGGTAAATTCAAGTCACTTGACTCCCAGGAAGCTGAAATAGCTGTCAGATGTAATTGTGATGTCATTGGTTGTAATCTTCAAAAGAGTATGGAGAACTTGAGAAGCACCTTATCATCAGAGAAGGACAAATCTTCCAATTTTCAGAAGGTTAGGGAACAGGGTCTGAAAATTTTAGGTAAGTGTGACTTCAATTCCTGGCAAAATTCTAGAACATTTCTTTAAAGATACACTTCAAGACTTCTGGAAGCCAAGATGGTGGAGTAAGCAGCAAACTGCTGTAGCTTTCTCATAATCACCTCCAAACAACCATAAAATAGCATCCCAGAACAAATCTTGGAACAACAGAACCAGTGAAAAGACAGACTGGAGCAGTCTTTTAGCCCAGGAGACTTAGAGGATCAGCAAGAAAGGTTCATCTCACTCTGGTAAAAGGGGAGCACATTCCAGGACAGGAAGCCAGACTAACCTTATTTTCATTTTTGACAAGATTCCTAAACTGGTAGATAAGGGGAATGCTACAGACATAGGTTACCTAGATCTTCACAAAGCATTTCACAAAATTTTCATGCTATTCTTGTGGAAAATATGGAGATATGGGACAGATGACAATATTCTCAGGTAGATTCAGAACTGGTTGAACAGCCAGTAAGAAAGAAAGAAAGAACATTAATAGTCTAATGTTAGCTTAGAAGGAATCCTTCAGGGCCGATGGATTTGCTAAGTTGAATACTGCTTAGCATTTTTGTCAGTGATGTAGATAAGTGGCTGGATGGCATGTTCATAAAATCTACAGATGACACAAAGCTGGGAAAGACTGCAAACACACCAGATAATAGAGTATGGATACAAATAAATCTCGACAGGCTGGAGCAGTGAGATGAACTGAATAAAATAAAATTTAGTAGGATCAAATATAAAGTTTCATAACTGGGACAAGTACAAGATAGGGAAGTGATGATTAGGTGGCAGCTTGACAGAAGAAAATGTAGACTCTAGTGGACTACAAGTTCAATGAATCAATGGTACAATATGACAGTCAAGAAATCTTAAAGAGCATTGAGAACCATAACTTCTAGGAATAAGGAGATGATAGGCCAGTGTAGCGGCCACATCACATGTAGAGTTACCATTTTTAATCCTTGGCACCATATCTTAGGAAGGACTTTGATACACTGGAAAATATCTAGAAGTAGGCAAAGAAAAGTGAAGAATATGAATAGTCAAATACAACCATCTATATAATCACTCCAAAGTAGTTACGTGGAACCTTTCATATAATCATTTAAAACCCTATTGTAAATGGTGAAAAGGCATACGCTATTCAGCTTTTCACTTGAGAATGGCATATTAATTATCAAGTTCATTTAGTTAATGATTTCTGTCATTGCACTAGTGGCTTGAGTTTAAAAAGTAAGTCATTTATTCCCTTCTGACAAGAATGGCCAGGCACACGATTATTACCTTGTAAGTAAACGGCTCTGAAAAATTTAAAGCTCCATATAAATGTCAGCTATTATCATCATTAATAAGAAATATATGAAAGAGAGAAGGTGACAGTGAGTTAGTGCTAGATAACAAATGGAGAAACAGTAGAAAGTAGTGGGGAGAACAATAAAGTGGAAGCTTAGAGAGCTAGGTTCTAGGGCAGCTTTACAACTAGCCTAGCTT